GTCACACAGACAGGCATCTGAGATCGGCTCGATTTGAGAAAGGGGAAAACATTTAACAAGATTAAAAAAAACACTGGGTGGATTTTTATCATTTTAGGGTGGTTACACACACTGTCAACACACATTTCAGTTCAAACTACTTGTAAAAGTGCATGTAGCATCCTATGACGCCTTTAAAACATAAAGATATTGGTATGATACCAAATATTGAAATTATGGCCTCAGGCTCTATACATGTTTTTAATGTATCAGAGATAAATTTAAATACCAAATGCCAGAAGTCTTTTAATTTTGGACAAAGCCAAAACGTGAGATAGCGTAGCTGGCTCAATTTCACACCTATCACAGTGAGGGTCTAAATTTGGTTTGAATTTGGCTAATTTCACTTTGGACCAATGCAGTCTGTGAACAATTTTAAATTGAATTACTCTATGTTTTAGACAAATTGAAGATGAATAAATATTATTTAAGACAGACTGCCACATGTCTTCTGAGAGTTCTAGATCTAATTCCACCTCCCATTTTCTTTTTAGTTGAGCTAGGGGTTCCAGGTTATGAGAATTAATTACAGAATACATTTTACCAATGGCTCCTTTGGAATATGGACTCAGGTCCATAATAGACTCAGAGGCAACGAAAGATAGTGGCTCAATGAGGAAGACAAAAAGCTATGAAGCTGAAGATATCTAAAAAAAGTGGGAGTCAGGAATTTGGAACTTCATTTTCACTTGACTGAATGATGCAAAGTCTCCATCAATAAACATAACTTTTAGTGTCCTAAGACCTTTCACAGACCAAATATTAAAGGTTTCATCCATAATAGAAGGGGTAAACGTGATTTCTTGCTATGGGAGCGTAGACTGATAATTCCTTGAGTGCAAAACTTCTTCTAAATTGTGCCCATATTTTGAATGAGATTTCATTGTTATCTTTGATGAATATCTATGAATAAAATAATATAACTTATATGGTACAGATATTTTGTGCATCCTTTACTTTTTATTTTTTAGATGGCTGACTGTGGTGGCCTGCCTCAGGTTCATGAGGTATATATATAATTTGCAAACAGATTATAGATATTATTTTATCCATTAAAATCTGCATTCTTAATCTAGGTCATATATTTGATTTTACAGCGATTATGAGTGAATTTACGCTACATGTTTATGTTCTCTCACAGCCTGGAAAACTGATAGAAGCTTTCAAATATTTTATCCAGGGCATGGGCTACAGTAAGCACAGATTATTTTAACATTACAACAATACTAAACTACTATCAATATATATATATATATATATATATATATATATAATTTAATAATATAATTATAATAAAAATAATATCATAAAAATTTAATAATACCCTCTCTTATCACGTACTCTTTCTGCTCCACAGTGCCCTCTGCCAGTATGACCCGTCTTGCTCGATCTCGCACGGCCAGTAACAACAGCTGCGGTACAAACACGGATGAGCAGCGCGGACGCTCCCACACTGACGTCTCCATGGAGAGCAGCTCTGGCGCAGAGCACAGTTCCTCAGCCCTCACACATTCCGTCGAGCTGTCCTGCTAAACGCCTCGTCAAAATAATACCAGAGTGCAAATCAGAATGGAACTCAGCAGACGGTTGGACTTGAAGTGACAGAATTTGAACCTGAAAGCTGATGCTCCTGTGATTAGATAATGTTCATCATTGGTATTTATCACAAGGGATATTTGATACATGGGATACGTTAGAGATGGCCCTCACAGCAAACAAATATTGCACATAATTAATAGACTTGGCACTAGTTTAAAATATATGAACCAGTAAATGATATGGTTTAAATTTATTACTTACAATGTACAATGTTATATTTTATAATGATTATGTAATATGAATATGTTAAGAAGGTTCTATAATGCTTACACTTGGCTGTGAGAATGTATAATATGTATCTTAAAATGTGTATGTGCGTGATTGTGTTGGAGAGTTTTCTGATAAGGATGCATGTTTGGGGGATTTTTTATACATTACATATTGCATATTTCTGTACTTGTAATATCTAACAGTAGTGTCAAATACTGACAGTATTTTTTAGTCTATTAACAATGTAGTCTACAGTACATTTGATATAGTATCTGAATCAGTGGCTGTGCTTCTTAGTCTCATCTTACATTATATAAATGAGCAAGGAAGATATGAAGGTTGGTAAGATCACTTTGTATTTACCAACTGTGTTCTTAAAATAAAATTGAGTATATTAAGTCAGTCTCAACTGCTGTGTGATGTCTAACAATGTGAAAATTCTAAATACATACAATATAATTATGTCATCAATTCACAACTGCACCATTACAGAAATTATGTCCGTTATACACAACAGAAATAAATACATACAAGTTAAAGCATAAAGATAAGCAAATGCCTTTTAATAAAAAGATACATTTCTTGCATATTTCCAGAATTAAATATGAACAGTAACTAAACGTGATTTCTTGCTATGGGAGCGTAGACTGATAATTCCTTGAGTGCAAAACTTCTTCTAAATTGTGCCCATATTTTGAATGAGATTTCATTGTTATCTTTGATGAATATCTATGAATAAAATAATATAACTTATATGGTACAGATATTTTGTGCATCCTTTACTTTTTATTTTTTAGATGGCTGACTGTGGTGGCCTGCCTCAGGTTCATGAGGTATATATATAATTTGCAAACAGATTATAGATATTATTTTATCCATTAAAATCTGCATTCTTAATCTAGGTCATATATTTGATTTTACAGCGATTATGAGTGAATTTACGCTACATGTTTATGTTCTCTCACAGCCTGGAAAACTGATAGAAGCTTTCAAATATTTTATCCAGGGCATGGGCTACAGTAAGCACAGATTATTTTAACATTACAACAATACTAAACTACTATCAATATATATATATATATATATATATATATATATAATTTAATAATATAATTATAATAAAAATAATATCATAAAAATTTAATAATACCCTCTCTTATCACGTACTCTTTCTGCTCCACAGTGCCCTCTGCCAGTATGACCCGTCTTGCTCGATCTCGCACGGCCAGTAACAACAGCTGCGGTACAAACACGGATGAGCAGCGCGGACGCTCCCACACTGACGTCTCCATGGAGAGCAGCTCTGGCGCAGAGCACAGTTCCTCAGCCCTCACACATTCCGTCGAGCTGTCCTGCTAAACGCCTCGTCAAAATAATACCAGAGTGCAAATCAGAATGGAACTCAGCAGACGGTTGGACTTGAAGTGACAGAATTTGAACCTGAAAGCTGATGCTCCTGTGATTAGATAATGTTCATCATTGGTATTTATCACAAGGGATATTTGATACATGGGATACGTTAGAGATGGCCCTCACAGCAAACAAATATTGCACATAATTAATAGACTTGGCACTAGTTTAAAATATATGAACCAGTAAATGATATGGTTTAAATTTATTACTTACAATGTACAATGTTATATTTTATAATGATTATGTAATATGAATATGTTAAGAAGGTTCTATAATGCTTACACTTGGCTGTGAGAATGTATAATATGTATCTTAAAATGTGTATGTGCGTGATTGTGTTGGAGAGTTTTCTGATAAGGATGCATGTTTGGGGGATTTTTTATACATTACATATTGCATATTTCTGTACTTGTAATATCTAACAGTAGTGTCAAATACTGACAGTATTTTTTAGTCTATTAACAATGTAGTCTACAGTACATTTGATATAGTATCTGAATCAGTGGCTGTGCTTCTTAGTCTCATCTTACATTATATAAATGAGCAAGGAAGATATGAAGGTTGGTAAGATCACTTTGTATTTACCAACTGTGTTCTTAAAATAAAATTGAGTATATTAAGTCAGTCTCAACTGCTGTGTGATGTCTAACAATGTGAAAATTCTAAATACATACAATATAATTATGTCATCAATTCACAACTGCACCATTACAGAAATTATGTCCGTTATACACAACAGAAATAAATACATACAAGTTAAAGCATAAAGATAAGCAAATGCCTTTTAATAAAAAGATACATTTCTTGCATATTTCCAGAATTAAATATGAACAGTAACAACTTGGCAAAATAAAAATGTGAATCACTGTCACTTCTTTTATATGTATTTCAGAATATGTTACATAACAAAGATACAAAAATGTATTTTAACATAATTTTACCTAACATATATTTTCAAAAACCGATGATGTGTATTCCTTTAAGGAGAATTCCTTTTATCGTTGAAGCCAGGCAAAATCTTTTAACATATATTTGTAAAATATAAAAACTATTTTTTGGGACTTCACAGATTTGTAACGGGAAGTCAACATCTTAAATGTAACATTTTCTTAATTTTAATATTTGTCCCCCATCCATCCATCAGAAATCTTGTTGTACCATAAAGTCCTTCAGTCTGAACTAACATTGTTCCCCTCACAAGCCATCTCAATATGAGTAACTGTGCTGATGTTCATTCATAAATCATCTGAAATGATTTCTCATCAAGAGTGAATTATTCCTTTCTGTGCTATACAGCATCCCTGTTACTGTCAAGTGTGATGCACAGACTACAAACATGAGCCTAAGGATGCCATAAAAAGAGATGGTATCTTGGTGAATTAGTTAGTTAACAATCTCATTGACCTCATAGTATTGCTCCAGATCTGCAAAGATATCATTTGGATTCCTGCAGGAGAGGTTGCAGAAGCAGGCGTTGATCCACATGTATTTCCAGGAAAAAACCGAACCATTTGGACACTCAAACTCCACCTCGATGGTCTTAGACTTGTATGGGATGCAGCAGCGCTCATCTGTACAGACTCCACAGTACTTGGGCCAATACGCCTTCTTACTGACACAGCCTGAGATGGTGAAGTTCTGAAACTCTGGCTCACGGTAGATGTTCAGGCATTTTTTACCAGGCTGAGTAACAGATATGGCAATCAATAACATCTATCCATCCATCAATGACAATGATATGACAGTCAATCAATCAATTCATCTATCAAGCCATCCATCCATCTTCTGTCTTCCTATCTGTCTGTCTATCTATCTAAGATATTAATTATTCTTACTAAATATATAATATATAATTAAAATAAACGGAAAATAGGATGGGTGTGCAAATGAAATAGAATAGAAATAAACCAAAGACTGAATCAATTCTTACTCTAAAGTGCTTGGTGATGTCCACCTCACAGGGTCGGAGGTTACACAGTCGAGACTCTTTCTCCATCACACAGCCAGGGTTGTGATTAGAGATGCGCTGTGATATGCCCCGCCCACAGGTCTTTGAGCAGGGACTCCATGGGCTAGTCTGGGTAATGCAATTTTTATGCCAAATATCATTAGTGATGAGGGACACTGAAAAAGACATAAAGAAGAGGTGTAATTCATCAGTGATAAGGAACTAAAACAATGCAAGGTCACCAGAAGATGCTATAGATATTTATCACCACATGGCTCACCCTCCTCAGGAGCGTGCCTGGGGTTGGTCTTGCGTGGTTTACGGGACTCTTCGCAGATCCATTTCTCACAACACTGGCCTGGGATCTTCACTCGCTTGGGCGACTGACACCAGACCCGGGGTGGTAGGGACTCGGTGCAAAGTGACACACATCCAATCGCCCCATTCACACACAGACAGCGGTACTTACAATTGGGCTGGAAGCTTTGGCCATTACGGTAAATCACACCGTTATACTCACAGCCTGTTCCCATAACATCTGAAACAGAGAAGTCTGGATATTCATACTGACAACTAAAAGATTCTGCGACAGTTTTGTGCTTGAGTACCAATTTGACAAAGAATAATAAAATAATTAGATATTGTATGTAATCTGTTGGTAATGAAGATGATTGCTGTAGTGATAGTATATACATAAAATGCTAAATTGACATTTTCTCTAGTGGCGTATGCATATGCATTAATATGAATTATATTCAAGTTATTTTATTTTATTTTACAATATAGTAGGTAATTCAACTGAAAGTCATATTTACATAAAATAAATGTTTATTTATAGTATTTTAAAGGGGTCATATGATGCGATTAAAATTTTTCCTTTCTCTTTGGAGTGTTACAAGCTCTTGGTGCATAAAGAAGATCTGTAAAGTTGCCCGCTGAGGAAATACATCAACAATCGCTGGATCAGCTTTCACAGTGGACGAAGCGGAGTCCAGCCCGGGGTCGTCACATGTGGTTGACGCACGCCCGCCGGCCGTTCCTCACTCAAGCCCGCCGTGTGTGACACTGTGTGTTTCGTTGTGAAAGCAAAACTACTT